AGCAGCCCACATCCATCAATAATCCTGACATTTGTTCTGTGCTTAGAGTAGACCTGCTCGTGTGCATATCATCACCTCTGTAAAAAATAATTTGCCCTTTTAAAGTGTCCAATCAGTGGATTTTAGTATATTCACATGGTTAGGCAATCATAAACACTAATTCTAGAACATTCTTATACCCCGAAGCAGTCTCCCCCTAGACTCTGGCAACAAACCTGCTACTGCTGAATTTCCCTCTTCTGAAGATAATCTTCAACTTTAACTCACAAGAACCTAATCAAATAGCCAGTAGAGAGAGAAGCACCAGACAGCAAAGTGGCTAAGAGCATGGATTCTAGTGTCACCTGCCCAGCCTCAAATCTGATTCTCACTAGCTTTGTGACTTTGGCAAATGAATGAACCACTCTGTGCCTGAGTTTCTTCACCTGTATAATTTTGATAAGCTGGTCATGAGGATTACATGAGGCTACATTTAGATATTTAGCAGGTGGGGCCCACATTTACTGCTCCAGAAAGGCCAGCTGTCTTTCTTGTCATTGCTTCATGTCACTGATGAAGGTGCTCAGGCACAGAGGGGTTAAGGGATGTGACCAGGGCCACACAGCTGGTGCGTGGCTTGGTCCCAGGTCCCCTGACTGAGTCTTTAGCTTTTTCCATTACACCACACTGGCCCTGGTCCTCCTCCACGAGGCCTCAGCCCTTCCCACACTGTGAGCCAAGTTGCTTGTAAAAAAAGCCCAAGGCTACATGCCAGACAGGAGGGAAAGGAGCAGGGAGTCATGAAATCATCTCACTTGAGGGTGTTGCAGCCCCACACAGGCTGGCCTCCGGGCCTGGTCCTTCCCTCACCTCTTCCCACTTCCTGTCTGGTGTGGATGTGGGGTGGGCAAGGACCACTTCCAGGAGGAGCTGACCCTCTGGAATTCCATGACTTTCCCACCCCAGCCATGCAGCAGGGACTCCTCAGAGCCAGCTGAAGCCCTGCCTTAGACAACTTTGTTCTAGGAGGGACAGAGCTGCCTGAGGCAGCTATTTATGTGACAGCAAACCCTCAATTGTTCCCAATTATGTTGAGCCAGTGGAGAAGAGAACTTTACTTTTAAATTCTGGTAGAAATAAAGTTCAGTCAGGACTGGAGCACAGAGGGAGCATAGGCTTTGGGTCTGGAAGTCCTAGGATTAAACTCTGGCCCAAGCAGTCCTAAAGGATGTCACCTGGAGCAAGTTAGATCTGTGCAGAGGGACAGATGATGCCTAACACGGTTACTGAGTCAGGCACATCACATTTAAATGGCACAACAAACACAGGAGGCAGGCACTTTCATTCCCAGTGTGCAGACAAAGAAACTGAAGCTCAGAAACATACAGAGGTGACACCAAGTTGAGACCTTAAAAGGCAAAGTTGTGGTTTGACCAGGTCTGTCTTCAGACTTAAGGCTATGGTGGAAATGAGACTTCAGATAACACAGTGTAGCCCCAAGCTTCAGAATGTCAGCAGAATGTCACCTTTTCCTACATGATTCCTGGCCTCCCTTCCCACCCCTTCTCTAAGGGCCACTCCTCCAGGAGAGGCTGTACCCATGGTCCCAACTCTCTCACCACAGCTGACAGGCTCAGGCCCAGGTGTGGACTCTGATCCCGGACCCTTGAGAACATCAGATTTCCTCCTGGGCCTGGAGCTGAGACCCAGTAGCTCCAGCTTGTTGACAACAGGAAAGCCACTTCAATTCATGGGGACTGCAGGCGCTGACCCAGGTGGTGCTAAAGGGGCATGCTCTTGGCCAATGTGGGCAAATGGGCAAATTAAGAGCCTGATACACAGAGGCTGGCAGGCAAACAAAGCAGGCTCGATGGAGAATCCTGAGGCTATAGTGACAGATGGCTGGGGAGCTGCCAGCCAATTCTGGCCCTTACAAAGCTGGCTGCAGTTTTTGCTCTGGATTCTAGGACACATGCCTTTCTCTTCTCATAAATCCAGTCCCACCCTTGTTTTCAAGCACAAATTAGCAGAGCAGGATTTTGATTTGTGGAAGTAAATAAGCCCTGATGTTTCTTCAAGGAGGTATCAGGTAGGCAGGAGGCCCCTCCTTATTCAGACACCCATGGCGGGCAAGGTCAGTGTAGCAATTTGCAAAAATGCTCACCTAACATTTGCTCTCAAAATTGAGGATCTAACTGAAGGAATCTGCATAAATCACCTTTGGGTCAGGGTCAAATGATATGGCTGCCCTCCATGGGTTCCTCTGTCATTCTCAAACATGCTCATGATATTGGAAGGTGTTGGGCATGATTCCTTTTCCTCTTCCTTTCCCCCAAAAATCAGCTCTTCCCGGCCCCAGTGTTTGCTCCTGCCCCGTCAATTTTAGATGGCATCTTAGCATCTTCAATATATAGCCTCTTTATTTATATTCAGCTCATGTTTGCAGCAGAGCAGAAGAAAATTATAATTTGTATATGATACTGTTTGATAGGGTTGCATACTGTTGAACACAAAACATCACAAATGAGATTATTATGCTTTAAATAATTAGGTAACTGTTATCTTAATTGCTTTACATGCTGCAACAACTCTTGGCAGTTTGTTATGAAGGTGGTTGAGATTGTTGTAGTGATAACTGCAGAAAGCCATTAGGAACATATTATTATCTCCCTCCTTTATAATAATGGGACATGAGCTCTGAAAATTGTTTGACACTTCAGGAACAGATTAGGTCCATATGACCAAGCATGCCTTTGGTTACTTTCACCCAACCTTTTAGGAGAAGCTGTGAGCAGAGAGATACAATGGTATGCAGGGCACAGGGGCTGACTTCTGTTGGCCTAGAAATATCAGCTTTGACTGACCACAGCTGGTCATAAAACTACCCTCTCCAGGTTTCAGTCCCCACCCCCTTGAGGAGTCAAGCAGGGACCCAATATTATGGTTTATTTACTTTTTTTTTTGGTACTGGGGATGGAACTTGGGACCTTTCGCTTTCGAGGCAGGCAGTGGAATCACTGAGTTAAATCCCCGGCCCATGTTATGGTGTAGATCTAAAATGTCCAGCTGGGCATGGTAGTACACGCCTGTAATCCCAGCACTCCCGAGTGACGTAGGAGGATCACAAAAGAGTTCAAGGCCAGCCTGAACTACACAGTGAGACTCTATCTCTAAAAAAAAAGTGCCTCCAAAGTATCCTGTCTGTGGAAGGATCATAGGGGTGCTATGCTCATCAGTGGACTCATCTATCGATGAGGTCAGTAGCTGACCTCCTCAACGAGGTGAGGCCTAGATAGGGGTAGGTCACTTGGGGCGTGGCCTAGAAGGGTATAGTCTTCTCCCTGGCTTCTCCCTTCTCTCTCTGCTTCTTGGGTGCCATAGTTAAGCAGCTTTTCTCTGCCAGGTTATTCTTTTTTGGTACCAGGGATCGAACTCAGGACCTTGTGCTTGCAAGGCAGGTGCAGCACCACTGAGCTAAATCCCCAGCCCCCCTGCCAGGCTCTTCTACCACACTATCTGTATTAGAGCTGATCAACCATGGACTGAAACCACAGAAACTGTGAGCCAAAATAAATCTCTTTAAGTTTCAGGTATTGGCTATTTTGTCCCAGTGATGGGAAAGCAAGTGACTAATACACCCAGGAAAGCTCACTGGCTGACAAACTGCTCTTAGATTGATTGATTGGCATGAGATGAGCCTGTGACACACAAAAACCTGCTCACTGGGACTTCTGAGAAGTGACTGTTGGTCTTTCATGCTGAGTGTGAGCCCAGAGCTGCTGTAGTCATTCTACTATCATGTGGGATCTGAAGGGGAAGTGGGAATGTGGAATGAGGGGAAGATGTCAGGTCAGGTAATACTGTGAAGTCCCTGGATTAAGCTGTGCCTGAATCACAGAAGGCTTCTTCTTTCAAGACATTCAGTTACATCAATCACAAAAAATTACCTTGTTTACTTAAGCAAGTTTGAGTTGGTTCTGTCACTTACAACAGAAATGTCCTGACTGAAACAGAGGGAAGGAAGGCAGTAATCTTGGGATAGAGACTTGCACTGGCCTGAGAAGATGTAGCCCCTTGCAACATGGCAGGAAGATGCACAAAAGTTTAGAAAACAGGGCAAGTTGCCCTCATCTCTGAGGCAAGGATTTCCTAAAGCACTTTGCTACATCATATCCTGAGGGACTACGACTTCTCATACCTGCTTTGAGTTGCCTGCCTTTGGTAACATTAAGATGAAGCTACTGGTCCCAGAATTAGCTTTGTTTCCCTTTAGCGTTTGGCGGGCTTATACTGAGCTGTCCATGTATTGCCCTACTCACTATGAGACTGGAGATGCAGATGGTGTTCATTCATTCATTCACTAATCCGTCCACCCACCCACCAAACACCAACTGGACATGTATTGTATGGTAGGCCTTGAATAAAGTATTAAGAGAGAGAGGATGAAGAAGATGTGGTCATGGTCTAGAGGGAGAGACAGGAAAATGGACAACTGCATTACAGGAAAACTCACAGGGCTGTAGGGGCACAGAACAGGTGGCCCTTCTTGGTCAGGGACAAGGCTTCCCAGAGGACCAGAGTCCTGAAGGCAAGAAGGAGTTACTGAGTCAACGAGTGGCTTAGAAGGGTACAAGATAACGTTATGGTCCATGTGAGAGCTGGCAAGTGCAAAGGCCTGGTTGTGGGGATGGGGAGAGAGGGAATCTAAGAGGTCCAGAAAAATGCAACAAATGTAGCTTACCAGAAAACACAATTACTGTTCAAACCTCAAGTTCAAAAATCACACTCCAAAGCATATGGAAATGATTTCTGTATTACTCTCTTTGTGGAAAACCCTTTTCTCTTATTTGGAAAATATTAAATATCAAAATATAAAGCAACAAAGCATGTCCCAAAGAAATGGATGTAATTTTAAGCTGAAGAAATAAAAAGTCTAGACCCTAAAGTCTTAGTGAAAATTAAGTCCAATTAAATTCTTTCCCAACCTGCAGTTCACCAGAAACCATGAATTCTTTCCTTACCTGCAGGTCAAAGAACTTGCTGTAGCGCCGGTAAATGGCCTCTGTGGAGCCACTGGACCATGTGACACGGATGATGTAGACCTGCAGGGAGGGACACAGGAGACAGGTGTTAACACCAAGGTGGCTGCTGTGGTTTAAATGTGTCCCCCAAAGTTCGTGAGTTAGAGACTTCAACCCCAGCACAACAGTATTGGCAGGTAGGACCTTCAGGAGATGATTAGGTCATGAGCTCTGCCCTCAGGAACAGAGGAGATTCGTTATCATGACAGTAGCCTCATTGTAAAGGCAAGTTTGACCCTCTTGTCTTCTTTCCCACATCCTGCCTGTCTGCCTTCTGCAATGGATTACACAGTAAAAAGGCCCTTTCCAGATGCCAGGCCCTTGATCTTGGACTTCTAGTTTCCAAAACTCTAAGAGATAAATCTCTGTTCTTTATCAATTACCCACCTGTTATAGCAATACAAAATGAAGTAAGATGGGGTCTTCTGTTTCTAGCACTCACAAGAAGCACAAGATTCTGAGTCAAAAAGACTCAAGTTTCAACCTCAGCCCTGCCAAGTGACTAGACAAGTTATTGGCTGTCTGAGCCTTAGTTTCCTTCTCAATACAGTGGGCACAATGAGTACAATAATCTCCACCTCCAGAGGTATGCAAAGGACTAAATGATATCAAGTACAGGGCAGTGACAGCAATAACAGCTTAGGAGCAGGGGTTACTGTCAGCATTGGCAGGATTTCTGCCAGTCATACGTAAAACTTTGGTTTTTACCAAGAGAAAGAGGGAGACCTGAGCTCTTCGAAATCTATTTTGTATAGGCTATGCCATGCTGCCATTTCTACCAGGAGGATCCATGCCAAGTCATTTCTTCCTTCTGAATCCCAGTTTCCCTCTGCTTCCTGCTTCCCAGGATAGATGTGAGGATCTGATGCACTCAGGGAACCACTTCATCACCCACAGGGCTGTTTCCAACCCAACCTTTGTCACCATTGAGGCACACACAGGAAGCAATGTATTGACAACAAATTTGGGCTAAGTGGGGTGGGTGTTGGGGAGGTCAAAAGCACCTGGCCGGGGCTGTGGTGATGCTGGAGACCAGCTGGTCACCTAAGGACTATGGGATCTGCACACCTGAAAGCCACTCATGGCTTGTTATAAAGTAGTTGTGACAATTCAAAACACACGTGACAACTCTTTGGACACAAGGATGTGCTGTGCACATGAGGGGCCTCAGGTGTGTTTGAGCCATAAGCTAGGGTTTGTTGGTGAATGCTAGAATCTGGATCTGAAATGTCCCACAAAGGCCCCGTATTAAATACTCGGTCCAAGGCTACACCACTATTAAGAGGTGGCAGAAATTTTAGGAAGGGGTGCTGGGTGGAAGGAAGGTTAGGTCACTGGGGCATGCCCTGGAAGGAGAGAGTGGGACCACAACCCCTTCTTGTCTTTGCTTCCCGGTCTCCATGAGGTCAACAGTTCTCCACCACATGCTCCCTGCCATGATGTACTGCCTTGCCATATGCCCAAAAGCAATACAGCCAAGAGTCCATGGACTGAAATCTGGCAAACTGTGAGCCAAAATAAACTTCTTATAAGATGATTTATCTTAGGTACTTCTGACTAACAGAAACAAAAGATACGTCAATGAAGATGACTAACATGTGGATCGTGGACAGCTGTTGTTTTTGCCCACTAATGATTACCCTCCCTTCTTTGAACCAGAACATCTCAACTTTCCTCCAGGGAACCTACTTCTGTACCTCAGCCCAGCCCCTTAGAAACAGGTGTGGAGTTGGCAGTATGACTCAGCGGTAGAGCACTTGCCTAGCATGTACAAGGCGCTACATTCAATCCCCAGGACAGCAGAAAAAAAAAAGTGTACAAGGCGCTACATTCAATCCCCAGGACAGCAGGAAAAAAAAAGTGAACATGTGACCTAAACTGGACCAATCAGAGCCAGTAGGAGTCAGTCCTGAGACTTTTGTTCCAATTTTTTTTTTCCCATTAAGTTTATTAGTACATTTTAGGTATAAAATAGTTACATTCATCATTGGGATCTTGTACCATTACATGAGTTTCTTGGTTCTTTTTTTTTCCCCTTCCCTTGCCCTCCCTTTACCCCCACCACCCTTCCCTATTTCAAAGACTTTGTTTCCATTTTTTTCCTTTTATCATATTTGTTCTTTTCCCTTCTTTCCTTTCCCCCACCCCTCCCACTTCCCCTGCTCCTTTAGGCCTTTACTTCCTGTTACACAATATCAATTACACATTTCTTAAATTACAATATCAAGATCTAGGAGACATTACCATAGATTATACAAAATTTAAAAGGATACAGAAAGCATATTTCAAAAATCTGTTTTGAAATAAATTTGACAACTTCTAAGAAGTACCTTGGAAGACAAATTAAT